GCACCCCCCTTGCCCGGGGGGCCGTGTCACCGACGCTGCTGACTGGCGGGCGTGCTTGCCTGTGAAAGGTGGAGCAGCCGCACCGCTCCCACGGGGGCTACAGCGTCAAAGGGGACAGTGGGCGGGGCATTTCCGGATGCGCCTTCGCTGGGGAAAGTGAGCTGCCCTCAGAGACCTGCATTTTCTCTGGACTTGAGCTTCGTCTTCGGGGACGTTACGGTGAGGAGGAGATGGGGTGCGAGCACCACGTGGGAGTTTCTGAGAAACCGTTTCAAAAGGGGTGTCCCTGTGCTCAGCAGGCTGTGCACACACGTCCCGGCCAGAGCGGGCACGCTCTCCTGTGGGTGTCTGCTGTGATGTGCTGATGGGGGACGCTGCAGCTGGGTAACGTGCCACTGTAAGTGTGCGCACTTCTGTATCTAGTCATTTACGAGTTTAAAAAAAACACTAGGTTATTTGTTTTCGCTTCTCTGGTCACTCCTTGAAAGACCACCTTGAAGGGCTTTGGGTCCATCTCACCTGACCTCTGCTGGGGCTGAGCTTGGTGGGGTATGGGGGCACACAGGGGCGGGGCCGTTCGCAAGGGTTTAAAGGCAATTGTTTCAGCAGCAGCCTGAGGTAAGGAGTGGGAACTGTGGCAACAAAGGCTGCCAGGACCCAGGGACTGTGTGCACGGTGCTGCTCAGGAGGTCAGGGCGCCCGAGCACCTGTGGGCACCTGTGGGGTGCAGTGTCCCTAACAGTGGGGCGGCAGCCACAGCCCAGGTGACTACCAGACAGAGACCGGGCCAGACTACCAGCCAGAGACTGGACAAGTGCAGCATGGCACAGCCACACAGTGGAGTACTGCTTTTTACCTTTTTATGAATTATTTTGTTATTATTTTTTAAATTTGCTATAGGGGACACCCACTCGAGAGAGAAAGCTAGTCGCCAGGACCGGTACTTGAACCGTAGTCAGCCATGTGAGAGTCTTGTGCCTTAACCACCACGCTACCTACTGCCCCCGTGCAGTACTGTTTAGCCACTTAAGGGCATGGCATGCAGGTGCAGGCTGCACCATGGCTGAGCCTTGAAAAGGTTTGTATGTGGAAGAAGCCAACACAGAGCCCCAAACTGTGGGATTCCCTTTGTTTTGCTGTAGGGCACATGTATTCTCTGGAGAGAGACAGAAAGAGACAGACGGAGGGAAAGTGAGAAAGCACTCCCCGGGGTGGCCAAGCTGCAATCCCTTCTCTTCCATTCTCTTGGGATCTGGCACGTATGCACATGTACTCAGTGTTTTTTTATTTTTATTTTTTTGGAGAGGTAGGGCATGTGCGCTCGCCAGACAGACAGAGACATAGAGACAGAAAGTGAGAAATCACCCCCCAGGTGGGATGGCCACGCCACAGTCCCTTCTCCTCCATTCTCCTCTCGGAATCTTGGGCACGCACACACACGCGCCTGGCGTGAGTTTTAAGCCACCAGGTCCAGGACGCGAACCGCGGTCAACTACATGGGAGTCCAGCGACATAGCCATTACGCTAACTGCTGGTTCTGCACTCAGTGTGTTTTTCAAGCTTCTAGCTCCGGACTTGCAGTGGGCCATGTGAGATCCAGCTCCTTAACTTCCATGCCACCTGCTGGCACCTACTGTGTGATTCCATTTATATGAAATGTCCAGAACAGGAACATCTACAGAGACAGAGAACAGGTTAGTGGTTGCCAGCTAGGGGAGTGAGTGACTGTTTTTTTGGTTTACGGCATGTTTTGGAATAAGCAGTTCTTTTGGCATTGTGGATGTACTGAACGCCACTCACTCCAAAGAATTTAAAGTGCTGAATTATATGCTATGTGACTTTTGCCTCAATAAAATAAAAATACATACGATAAAAGTAAAATGAGTAAAATAAAAGACAAAACAGCAGGTTGTGTACTAATGTTAGTGCATTTGGAGCGAGCCTTCACGCCAGTCTGTGACGCGACGCCCGGTCTGGAGCAATCCCTGGTGTTGCATCATTTGAGGAACCTGAAGGGCTCAAGGGGAAAAGTCAGCTTTTAACACCCTCAGGCCTCATTTGTTCAAGTCTCAGCAGCGCTGCCTCCCGGGGCTCATTCGAGGCTGGTCTAATGAGTTGCTTTCCTCTGTGAGTTTCCTGCGGTGGGACTGAGGACTGGGATCCACTAATGACCCCAAGGATGAGGCCATGTCCCATGTAACATCTGCACGGGGGCTGGACATGGCCACAGGGGAAGAGCCTCTGTCACCACTGCCCACGTGTCCTGCAGACAGCAGCAGGCCTGCGGGCAGGATGGCGGCCTTGGCCTTGGGGTTAAGATCCTTGACCCCTCTGAGAGGACTCAGTCCTTGGGTCACGTTAGGTCTTCTTGATTTCGGCCACAGAGATTTATTGCTTTGTCTGTGAAGTCTGTCCTCAATTAGGCAGAATGGTGACGTAGTGTAGGCTCCCAGCACAGTGCAGTGGGAAATGTGGGTACAGGCGTCCCACACGCTTCCTTCACCCTGGAAGGGAGTGCCCTGCCAGACCTCTTCCTGAGGCTGGTCGCACCGAGGATGACAGCAGAGCTGGGCACTTGCAGTCCCTGTCACTGCATGACCTGTGACGTCTCCAAACGCTCAGGAAGGCCTGCTCCTGCACCCTCAGCACGTCCCCATTGCACCTGTCAGAGCCAGAGCTCTGGGTCAAGGCGCGGTTGCCCGGGAGCATGAGGAGAGGCACCCGGAGTCTGCTCCTGCAGCCTGTTAAGGTAGCAGATGCCGGGAGCCCAGGGTGACCACCCTTTCAAGGTTGTCCGGTGCCACCTCCAGCACAGGCTGACCTCACTCCTCCAGCCGCAGTCCACAGCCCTGCTCTTTCAACTTCCCCTCATTTGTCAAGATACCAATAATAGAGGAAAGTATGTTTTATGTTTATCTACACGATCACAAATGCTCTCTAAGCCGACAATTAAATAGTGTCCCCAGGACTGCTCTTTAGATACAGTGTTAGGGCTCCTCGAGGTTCTGGCTGCGGCTTCTCCTGCAGAACGTCTCGTGTTTCCTGTAGTACAGTCGACTTCCCACAGATTTGCTAAGCTTCAGCCTGTATGAAGAAGTATTTTTATTTTATTTAAGAATTATTTATTTAGTAGTATTATTTAATTTGACCAGAGAGAGAAAGTAAGCTGGCAGGTCTGGGACCAGAACTGCAGTCGGACCGTGGGAGTCCAGCGCCTTAACCACCATGCCACTTGCCGGCCCCTGAAGTAGTCTTGATTTCACTTCGATTCTGAAAGAGGTTCTTGCTGGACTGAGAATTCTAGGCTGACATTTAGAGATGTCTTTCTGTCTCCTCCTTGTCTGATTTCTTATGAGGACTCGGTCGTCAGTCATCCCTGTGCAATGCCCCGCCCGGCTGGTCAGGCAATTCCCGCTCTTCAGAAACTGGGTTGTGATACCATTTGTCGAGACTGTGTTTGTGCTTGCAGAGCTAGAGAGCTGCTTGAATCTCTGGGTACGTTGCTTCATCTAAATTGGGAAATGTTCAGCCACGATTTCTTTAAATATTCTCCCCACTCAGCTTCACTGGGTTGAACTGCTGCTGCCCCAAAGTCACTGAGGCTCTACCCTTCTCTTTATTAATTTGCTATGGGGCACACGTGCTCACTGCAGAGAGGCACAGGGGTGGCGGCAGGGCGGGGCTGTGGTGACAACGCATCCCTAGGAGGGGTGGCCACATGCATTCCTTCTCCAGTACTCCTCTGGGGTTTTGGGCATGATGTACACATGCTCAGCACACTTTTCGAGCCACTGGGTCTGGAACTCAAACCACACAGTTGGCCGCGTGGGTGGGATCCAGCCGCACTAACCATCATTAACCATCTTGCCGTCAGCTGGCTTGCTCTGTGTTTATATATATATCGTTTTTTTCCCCCTCTTTCTGTGTTTCAGTTTGGATTATTTCCATTGCTGTGTCTTTAAGGGCATCCATCTTTTCTTTTGCAGTGTTTGATGTTAATACAACCAAGACCTTTTTTTTTCAGATACTTGTATTTTTAAATCTCTAGATATTCCATTTGGCTGTATTTGCATCTTCTGTTTCTTTCAGCATTATGTTCAGTTCTGTTTAAATTATTGAGCACATCGAATATATTAATGACTAGTTGTAAACTTCACACTTGCCAATCCCATCATCTCTATCATTTTGGGATTTTTTCATTATATGATTTTCCTCTTTGTTATGGGCCACAGTTTTCTGTTTCTTTCATATTTAGTAATTTGCGATATAATGTGGTCATTGTAGGTTTTATGTTAAGTGCTGAATTTTTTTTTGTTCATGGGGATTTTTAAAAAGTTCATGGAGGGGGGAGACGCCACAGACCTGCGACCCGGAGCAGCTCGGAGCCGTGAACTCTTCAAGTCTGCAATAAAAAATGGCTTCCAATAAAACTACATTGCAAAAAATGGGTAAGAAACAGAATGGAAAGGGTAAAAATGTTGAAGGTTTTATGTTAAGTGCTGAATTTTTTTTTGTTCATGGGGATTTTTAAAAAGTTCATGGAGGGGGGAGACGCCACAGACCTGCGACCCGGAGCAGCTCGGAGCCGTGAACTCTTCAAGTCTGCAATAAAAAATGGCTTCCAATAAAACTACATTGCAAAAAATGGGTAAGAAACAGAATGGAAAGGGTAAAAATGTTGAAGAGCAGAGCCTGAAGAATTTGTGGTGGAAAAAGTACTGGACCGACGCGTAGTGAATGGGAAGGTGGAATATTTCCTGAAGTGGAAGGGATTTACAGATGCAGACAATACTTGGGAACCAGAAGAAAATTTAGATTGTCCAGAGTTAATTGAAGCATTTCTTAATTCTCAAAAAGCTGGTAAAGAGAAAGATGGTACAAAGGGAAAATCTTTATCTGACAGTGAATCTGATGATAGCAAATCAAAGAAGAAGAGAGACGCTGCTGATAAACCAAGAGGCTTTGCCAGAGGTCTTGATCCTGAACGAATAATTGGTGCCACAGACAGCAGTGGAGAGTTGATGCTTCTCATGAAACGGAAGGACTCAGATGAGGCAGGCTTGGTACTGGCAAAAGAAGCAAATATGAAGTGTCCTCAAATCGTAATTGCTTTTTATGAAGAGAGACTAACTTGGCATTCTTGTCCAGAAGATGAAGCTCAATAATTGTTTGCATTGTTTATATATCTATATCTATATCTATATCTATATCTATATCTATATCTATATCTATATCTATATCTATATCTATATCTATATCTATCTATCTATATAAAATCTGGGTCTTGGATTTTGATTTACTTAGTGTGGAGAAAGATTTGATTTACTTAGTGTGCATTCTAATGGAAAAATCAAGTTTGATATATTTGTTTTGAAAGTAGTATTGGGGAATTGGGGAGGGGTTGCATCCCAATAGCACTGGTT